CATGTATTTGTTTGGTAAATTTCCATGAAATTATATATCTGTAAGAATGTTAACACTTATGAGTTATGCTACTTCTACTAAAAATAACAACCCACAAGATAACATATCCTGAATGAAACTTTAGATTTACATGTATATAGAAAGTATTAGTGGCAGAGAACATTTTAAATCAACCTGACTAATTGTCCATTAGGTTTGAAAGTAGCAGAAGTGACCTGAAGCAACATATCTGCCATATTATTTTTTAAAACAATGTAAAACGCACCATTCATGGACTTTTCTCAAATGGCCATCAGTCATCAACTTATCTCTCCTCAATTCTAATTCTGAAATTTCATTGGATCTTCATCTTAGCCAGATTGAATGCACCACCCTCCACAGCCTTATGGGCACAATATAAAACCTTCCTCAACAGCATTTATTCCCCTGTGAAGGCAGCTATATGGGATCCCTAAACCAGACACTCCTTTGTTGCTCTCTTTACAGGAATTTCAGAAGACATAGATCTTTCCCGTTGTAAAGAACAAGTCTGGAAGAGAACAAAATGCTTATGTGCCGCTTCTTCTACCTATCCAAAACTTCAATAGTTTTTCTAGATTCGGGGCCACCATTTGTTCTATCTATCTTACCTACAAATTGAAGATTAGTACAAATTGGCACCCCCAAGTAACTATGTCTGCAATGGAATTTCACTTGAAAGTTTCATCTCTATTAGCCAATGCCACTTATCTGTTGTGTATTTCTGAAGTTTACAAAAATGTACATAGGTAATTCAGATATGTGAGCAAATGAATAACATCCTTTATGTATTCCTCTATCTCCTAAATCACAATGGTTGATGGAGAACAGGGCAATAATACATAATAGTTGAAGATATTACTGATGAAAGTACTTACACAGAGAAAATATGTCAGATTACTAGAGGCTGGAGATGAGTCATTTTGGGTCCCATGGCACAAGCTATATGGCTACTCATTTGTGACTGCTAAAGATGTAAACCAAAACATTAAAACAAAAAGCTAGGGAGATGCTAAGGGCCGCGCACAAGATTGGTTCCCATAACTTGTTTCTATAAAAACACAGGTGGTAATATTTGAAAAAAGGATATATGGTGGCACTAAAATCTTGAGTATGGCATAAAAGTTTTATTGTTACCCTACCTGGTACAGGAAACAAAGGAATGGAAGATATTTACAGGCAGAGCATAGTGTAACATACCAGCTATGCAATCATTTTCTACAGCAAAGGTACATAATCAGAAAAACCAGACCCACATGTCGCCTGTTAAAACACCAAAAATTAATACCACTTTTTAATGGGTTAGAAAGGAAAAATTGTTATGGAAACTGAAGAGAGAATGTAGACATTATAGTTAACACTAAACATATATGAAATAAATTTTCATTTTCATCCTTGATCTATGGTACTTGTTGAAGGATATCCTCACCACGCCAAGAATAACTTAGAAAAATACTCCCCTTCGCTGCAGTATGATATCACTGGTGGGCTATCAGACTAACTACTGTCAATCTCTTTGCCTATCATGAAATAAAGCAGCAGTAGCTGCCATTCTTACTATTTGCAACCACTGCAGATGTGGAAGGAATCTTTCCCCAACTTACAGGACAGCATGAAAATATTCTGTACAAAAACAGGAGGGTTTATCAGCCTAATTGACAATGCACAGGTATTGTTTTGTATAAGGGACTATAGATACACAGTGACATTTCCTTTTTAAACAAAACAAAACACCGAATGAGATATTAGCCTGGAGACTCTTTTTATATTGGGGTCTGCACCCACAAGCATGGAGTCCACAATTGAACTGTGAATACAGAAAGGATGTGCCCTTCTCAACCTATACATTTCACGCAGGGGTAGGTTCTACTTACCTTTACTACCGGTCTGTATCATGCCCATGCGTGTGCGCTCACTTTGCTTGTGCGTGTGCATTCTTCTGTGCATGCGCAGAAGCTTCTGTGCATGCGCAGATCACTTCTGATGACGTCGGGGTCAATGGGCAGAGCCTCCCACCAGTTTTACTACCGGTTCTATAGAAATAGCAACCCACCACTGATTTCACCTTTTTCTAAAAATTCTCACATAAAACTCTCATCCAAACCATAGTTTAGAGAAAATTATCTCAAAAATTCTTAAAGTTCTACCTGACCTAAAGCAATAATCCTTAGATACCAGGTTTTAGAGCTATAGTCATTATTCCCCATCAGAATCTGACATCCAGAAGTCATAATAGTTTCTGCTCAAGAAGAGATGTTATTAAGTTAACAAAAAGGCAATCACTAGCAGCCTTACATGAAAGTGTTACTTTCCTAAATCAAGGCTGAGCGCTCAAATACTGAAGAATAAAAGAACTCTAATGAAGACTGTCTTTGGTTCAAATACTTTCAAAAGATTTGGTCAGTTTTTACTTTAAGCACTTAACCCACTGGAAGTAGCTAAAGCATTTCCAGAATACTCTCAAGAGACCACAGACACTCTAAGCAATATGTGGTTTTAGTCATTCATCAAAGCTACACAGATTTCAGATTAAGCTTTCAACCTTCACTTTCTTCACATGTCTGAATTTTCAGAACAGATACTTTTTTATCTAATTATACTTAAATACTTAAATAAAATATAAGTGCACTTTTATTCTTTCATATTTTGGGAGTATTCCGTTCACGATGGGGTAGTGAAGGAATCACACACATGCTTCGTTAACTTGAAAAAAACCTGGTTGGCTGTGTTTCATACACACAAAATAATTGTATATGCAGACAGTAATACATAGGACTACTAAAGAGCAAGAAAACCATAAAAGATGATTTGACAAGTACAGTATTAGCACTAGTCAAATTTTAAATAAATACTTTATGACAAGTATTATAACAAATACTGATATAAAACATTCTAGCTAGTATATTGTTATTCAACTTCACATTTATTTATTTAGAATAAATTTTGCCCTGCCAGCTTTCACTACTGCACATGCCAATTTTCAAAAAGTTCCATATGCATACTGCAAATAATAAAATTTTATGATAATCTACTGATTTTCAACATAAAAATATAGAACATTTCCATTAAGTAATAATTTTATCATTAATTTACTGAGACGACTATTGTTTCCAAAGTTTCCTTTTAACACTACCTAAATATCTTATTGGTTCAAAATTCAGAAGTGAATTACATTGTTTCATTTTTGCTTACAGAGAAGTGTTATGGATGGTTTGGAAACTTAAATAATTAAAATTCCTATTTTCAAAGCACATTACTTTCATAAGATGTTACTCAATTTGGAAAAAGAAAGAAAAAATATATTATTCTCAGATAAATAATTTTTATTTTAACTTCACTGAAATTACCATGCCACATAGGCAGAGAAATTAGTCTGGAACTGTAGACCTCACCACTGTTTCTTACATACTTATTTAAGAAAATAGGAGGACTCAAGAAAAAATACTGATGAAATACAAATGACTGGTGGAGGGGAGAATCTATATCCAAAAAGTATCATTACTGCAATTTCCAGACCAGAAATAATTTGCTAACTCTTGCTTGCCATTTGTATTCATGAAGAAAGTTTACTTTTTTCCCAAGCTGGTGCCGTTGATTTGTTTAAGATAACAAGTAAATATCAAATATCTAGACTACACTAGGTTGGAGGAGCTTGCTTTAAGAAGTTGTTCAAAGTCCCATTTTTAGGCCTATGCTTTAAAACTTTGAAATGACACTTTGAATTCATATTTGAATATTTATTACAAGAGAAGCATTTTGAACTCTGTAAGTTGTAATGAAGTTCAAGAAGTCATCTTAAGGCTAGTAAAATATGTTTTGACTGATAGTACTAGATAGTAATTTAAGTGCAGAATCTTTGCACCAAATATATATACTGTATAACAAAAGACATTTCTATTGTAGTTTGGTATTAAAAGCAAGAATCAGAAATCCTAACAGTCAATTTCAAACCATGCCCTAAATAAAAATGTATTTATATAATTGTTATGCAGAAAATCTACAATGCAAAGTGCTTTGAAAAACACATTAATAAAACTTAATGCTAAAGTGATGCAATTACAGTAGTTACAATTTCTAGGTAGTTTGCCTGAGAATCACAGTCCCAAAACAGCTGGAAGACCCTGGGGAAATATTGTCTAGAGAATACACTGAAAGATTACATTTAATTGAATCATAAAAAATTAAACAGTTGCAATTATTCTACTAGTCTTCCAATATTTTCAGTTATCTAAAGTTGTAAATATAAGTTTCTTTCTGCAAATTACAAACATGTTTTCTTTTTAACTTTCTGACATTGCTAGATTTTTCTGTCTAAGATTCATAATTTTATGATAAATTACACAGAATATATATATGGCAAAGCAGTAAACCACATCAGTGGTAGGTTTCAAAATTTTTTACTACCGGTTCTGTGGGCGTGGCTTGGTGGACGTGGTGTGGCTTGGTGGGTGTGGCTTGGTGCACATGGCAAGGGAAGGATACTGCAAAATCCCCATTTCCTCCCAAATGGGACTTGGGAGGCAGAGAATAGATGGGGACAGGGCCAGTCAGAATTTTTACTACCGGTTCTCCGAACTACTCAAAATTTCCACTACCGGTTTTCCAGAACTGGTCAGAACCTGCTGAAACCCACCTCTGCACCACATCTTATAAAATGTTTAAACTGTCCATTTGCAACATTACCAGTCAGAGTAATGCCTGTTACACCATTAGTCATAAGTCAAGAATGATAGTACTTGGCAGATACGTGCTTTAAAGAAGGACACTCTGAATTCCAGAACTAAAACCCCCTAGAGGACTGAACATTAGAAAATACTTGTGATCATGTAGGTCTGCTAAATAATAAGATTCCTAGATCTTGGCCCCATACGTTCCAAAACAAGTGAAGATCTAAACATTATACTTTGGCTTTCTTCAACCTAGAACAATAGTAATCCATTTTATTCTTCTTGAAAAGCTCAGTTTTAACTGGAAAAACTTACCTAATTTTGGCAAGGAATAGGGTACTTTGAAGTAATCTTCATAGAACTCAATTAATCTCCGTGTAATGTTTAGAGCATAGTCCCCGGATCCTCTTCTAATGGCATCAGGTCTTGCATACAATCGTACCTGTTAAAAACAAAAGAAAACAAAATAAAAGCCTGCTCATTATATTTTCAGGAATGCTGAAGTAATCAAAGCATTGGTTGTATATGTATATGTACACTGCGTGTGTGTGTGTGTGTGTGTGTGTGTGTGTGTGTGTGTTTTGTTATAATTCTATCATATCAGGATATATTATTTAATTGTAATAATACATTTTCACAATTAAATATAAACATGTTAAAACTGCCCACTATAAGAACTATAATAATATATTATATGCTGTAATATAATATATCCTGCCAATTACACAGATTTTGTTTTATGAAATATGAATACTGCTTACAGTATTTTTTTGAAAGGCACCAATTTTTAGCATAATAGATTTTTGTCCTCTGAAAGGAAGTCAAAGTACCTTAATAGGAGAGAGGATCATGGTAAATTAAAAGCTATCAAGCTTTTAACGTGCACAAGCAGGCATGTTAACATTTGCTGTCTCCTTCATCAATTTCCTTTTTATTATTCATTCGTTTTTTTAAAAAACATATAGGATAGGGAATTTAGTAGACACCAAGGGATAAATCTGGGTACAAACTGGTGACTATTGGTTCTATTATGACTACTTTTAGTCTAAAATATCATTATTTCACACATTTATTGTTAGAAAAAGAAAAATGGGCTGGAAAATTTTCAACAGAAAATTTACCAGTATCAAAAATTTCCTTGGAAAAATTCAGATTAAGTTGGCACTTTCAAAGCTTTATAAGGTGTTTTTTTACTGTTGTTCAATATTCTTTTCAATTTTCTGACAAAATGTTTTTCTTATGCATCAAAGCTTTTTATACAAATGTACTGTTCAAATCTCTTAAATAAACTAGTTTTAATTTTTTCACATTAAATACTATAACAATTTGCAAACTATACTGTAGATATTGAAATGAATATGCTAATTTGAAACTCTCACCTGCACAGGAATGTTTTCCAGTCTAATTTACATCTCTGAACAGAAATACATTGGAAGGGCTATTTGATCAGGTCAAAGGCCTTTGTGAGTCAGTTCACAATCAAGAACCAGGTGTCTACATTATAAGCAAGATAAGAAGGCAGTAGCTTTCTTGGACTGTTAACAATGGCAGCACCAGGAGTGTTAGAAATGCTGCCTTTGATTTAAGGGATGGGCACTATCACAAACTAGAATTAATATTAATAGCTCCATTCTCTATGAATTTATCTAATCAACTGAACACAGGAGAATTAACACCATATCTGATGCAGTGAATTTCAGTTTTACCATGAACTGAATAAAAAGAATGTTACTTCTTGTTGGTGCTGAATCTCTATGCATTTAGCTTCAAGGGATAGTCACAAATTCTAATTCTGTGACAGAGGGAGGTGATTTTTCATGGCATGCATAATTTTAAATATCTTTACAATGTTCACAGATTGCCCCATTTTTTCCCAAGAAAGAAATGCTAAAATATTTCTTCATAAGGGAACTGCTCTTCTCCCCTACTAATTTTACTTGCCCTTTCTAGGTTTCTAATATTATTTCTTAATGATATTAGAAAATGGAGAAACTGCAGACATCCAGACTCTCATTAGGCAGCATCAATGCATTTTCTATCTCTGTAGTGGTTGTCCTAGATTTTTGCAGCCCAGGTATACGAATTTAAAACAAACCACAGCAAAAAAGTATATAAGGTCATTTTTTATATCAGCATTATAATCTATTTGCTAATTATTCCAAGCAAGAATACGTGGGATTTTTTATATTGGCTTTTTACTTGGCTGATATTTTATAGCATTATCTTCCATTATTCCTTATCCCTTTCCTGATCCACTGCCAACTCAAATCCTATTTGTTTGAGAATTAAAGGATAATCAATGTGTATACAGCCAATGTGAGTGACAGCCAAAAGTCAAAAAGCAGAATATGGATTCATACTTTGTTCTTTAAAATCTGTATTATTGAATGCCAAAGTGTCTGTTAAAAGTGCCACAAATCAGGTCCAAAATTATTGCTGCACTATGTCAATGCCTACTGCCACCCCCTTTGCTACAACTTCCTTGACTCTACTGGAAGCCAAGGAACACGAGATTTTGGGCTACATGCCTACCAAACTCTGCTATCCTCTGTTATCCGATACCCACAGGTCACAACTGCACAGATAATGGATTTGGAGGGGAGGGGCTGAAACCAATTGCTATGTTTTGTGTAATTTACTTGTGAGCAACCAATCCTGATCAAACCAATCTGGTTTAATTAATAATTCTGGTGTCAGCATTCCAGAAAACCCCCGACTCCCAGTAAAGACGTGGAAGCAGGCATTTTCCAAAGTTCTCTTTACTAGAAATAGGTAAACTGGCACATCTGGGAAATCCCGAATCTGAAAACCCCGGCTTTTCTTCAGTAATTCAAAGCTCCCAACACTACCCCCTTTCTCCTCAATCGATCACATGCTCCAATCATTGTCCGTTCCACCTCAAGCCAGCCCCTGACCACTCCTCCTCTAGATGCTGGCTCACCCTGACCTTGACTGATAGGAAGAACGCTATTATGTCTACTAACTCCCCTCTCCTAAATCCTCCCTCCTACTTTCCCACACATGAGGAGGTGGCAGCATTGAAGCTTCCGGCCTAATATGGCTTCCAAGGCTGACATACGGACTCAAATTCAGTTCTATTCTCAGCTGCACAATTTCAGAATTGTTGTTCAAGACATTATTGCCGATACATGCTGCATAATTGAGAAAGCCAAACAATACCAAATACTTTATTGACTACAGAACGACTGTTATGTCAAGCTGTGAAATATCATTATTGTAATAGAAATCCCAGAACGTTTTATTGCTCTCCTGTGTCAAGCATTTGAGGTGAAGAAGGTCAAGAGACAGGCATTCCAAGTATTCCAGGAATGGTCTTTATTGCAATAAGGTAATAACAGAATCTTGAAAGCCTATACAAGTTTTTCTCTGCCCCATCTTGGATTAAATAAAGTCAGTCAGGTTACTTTGAGTTTCTTCCTCATGCTTTCTTCTTTTTCAGAACTGTATCATCTTTTTTGACAGTCTCCCCTTAATGGTTTGCTCATTCTTTCACTATTCTGAAGGTTAGATCTATATTTCTTTACATCATGAGAATTGTCTACTCACGATAGGGAGCTGCAGTCCAGATGGAATATAGAAAAACAAACCAGCTCCAAATTATCAAAAGGATGAGACAAGGCTGCATATTATTTATTTATTTATTTATATGTCTTATACATGGAACATACAATGAGAGAGATTGTATGGATTGTATGGATTAGAAGAATAGCAAAATGAAGCCACTGTATATTTCAATGACTACAAAAAAAACACTTTGGATTGTACCAAACATGTCAAGTTGTACAATGTCTTTAGGAAAACAATAATCCCAAAACATCTTGTCTCAAATGAAATTTATATACCGAAAACCATAGTCATGGTGAAACATGGTGAAATAGACTGACACCAAGTTGGCAAATGAATGAGACAAAGTTCTTTATTTCTTATGCTATTCAGTCTGTATGTTCAATATATACTAATGGAAACTAGGTTGGAAGATGAGGAGCATGGTTTTAAAATTGGAAAAAGAAACATCAATAAACTGTACTATGCTGATGATACTACTACAATAGCCAAAACTCGAAGGCTTTCCAAGCTCAGTAATGAAAATCAGCACCACAGGAAAGAAATTAGACAATGATTAAATAGAAAAAAAGATCCAAACAATAACAAAACAATAACTTACCAACCTTGAAATACACAGTGAAGATTTTGATAAATTGTAGATAGTTATTTTTTGCCAAAATATAAAAAGTCACAGTAATAAATAGCATAAAAACAAAAAATACTATTCTTGGGTGAAGGGAGGCTAAAAATGGTTCCTTCAGAAATGGAGTAATTGGGACAAATCTCTGGTCCCCTGTGAGAACCAGGCCTGGCAGCATAACCAGGACTTGGGGGTTTTATGAAAAATAAGAAGGGATGGGAGTAATCTAATTTCAAGAGGAAGACTGTGCCATAAAGTGGGGACCACTGCAGAAAAAGCTCATCTCCCAGGACCCACCAGACATAGCAAATATCTGCAGCAGGCCTTCTCTATGAGATTTGATAGGGCAGTCTGATGTAATGAGAGAGAGACAATCCCATGCCATGGGGCTTTCAAAGTTAAAAGCAACACCTTGAAGTTAACTGATCCAGAAGTTAACTGGCAGATATACAACCTGTAGAGTGCAGATGTGTAACATGCATTGCCCTAACAGAACACATAACTGCCCATTCCAACTCATTCTATACTAGCTAAAGTTTCTAGATATTGTTCGGGGGCAGCCCCATGCAGGGCACATTGCAGTAATCCAATCCCCAGGTGATGAGGATATGAATGACTGTGAGCAAAGTTGGCTGATCCAGGAACAGGCACAGCTGGCATACTAGATGAAGCTATGCAAATCCTCTCCTAGTCATGACTTCCACCTGCTCATCAAGCAGGAGTTGTCAGTCTAAGAGGGTCTCCAGACTGCACACTGGGCATGTTGGGGTAGTGCAACCTTATCTAGCATCAAAAATGCATGGTCCTGAAATCAGAGGGCCCTGAAAATCAAAGTCACCCACTCTTGCCAGGGTGCAACTGAAGCCTGTTGTTCCCCATCAGACCTTCACAGCCACCAGATATTGAGATAAATTGTTCATGACTTAATTTACCAGAGGTGGATTAGTGGAAGTAGTGGACTGTTCTGTCCCCGCACCTCCACAGATGGCCCGGAGTTAATAAGCCACACGACAAAACTCTTTGAAGATAAAGCTGGCAGCAACCCAGTGGCTAGCTGCCAATTCAGACTTTACTCACACAAAACAAAGATTAGACTGCAAACATTCCGATAAAACAGGCAGAGTTGCAACAATACAAGGATTAATCCAAATGCAGTCCGATAAGGCAGGCAAAGTCCAGTAACGCAGAGATCATGGAGTATTTCCAGTTTTTGCTCGTCACAAACTGAACTGGCC